GTCTTTCCAACAAACAAATGTTATTAAAAATGCTAAATATTTTAAAATATTCAAATTAGAATATATGGTTGCACAAAGGTGACAAAAATAATTAAAATAAACATGCTTTTCCATTCCCACCACTGGCTATGTGCCATAACTGATTGGCGCGAGCGCTAACTATTGCTAAACAGACATCACTCGCAACGAATCGTGACAAGACTTTATCATTTTAAAGAAAATCTTATATTGTGGCTGTCATCATGTAGTTATGAAAGACTGCTAGCATATGTCAGCATATGAAAAATATCACTCATACGCAGGTATGGGTGAAGACGTACCTTCCACAATGGGTCAAGAAGTTCTCTTAGACTCCGTACCTGTATGGAACGAGCATATACTAATAGAAAACTGCTCGAGAATGATATGGACAGAATTGTTGATATTTTTGGCCAACGAAGTCACATTTCTTTTGACAGTATACATAATATAATACACAGGATAAACTTGTAGGGGAGATTAGGTTAGGTTTTCGGTAAAGTTACATTTATGATATCAAAATTTAGTCATCAGACTTGGTCTTGTTTCATTAATTTTCCCTTCGTTCCCTGGCCCGCTCCATGCACAAAATCTCATCCCAAAACGCAGGAAATGGCATTTTGGAGACTGTACTTTTCAAAATTCCCCGGACCCCCCCCCCCCTAGCAGTTCTCGTGCCTTCAGCGCTCGTTGGGCAGATTGACATCTGCCCCCTCTAAATTTCTAAACCTGTACGCCTATGATCCTGGCTGTTCTCACACTCCATGGCCCATGCTGGTTCCTAAATTACGAAATTTTATAAATATACAAAATAGCCGTCAGTGATAATTAGGTCAAACATATATTATAATTTATCATGATTTGTATTATTAACTATGGATTTATGGATTGAGATATGCACCAGTCAAAGTAAATCCCCGCCTACCCCAGGCTGGGGATTACCGGGGACTTTGATTAAGAAACTGGTGAAAAGTGTGGCAGACCTTGCCCCTACCCCCCCTGGGACCTTTTGAAAGGGAAATCCTCTGCTCATGCTGTTGAGACTTGAGAACTCTTGAAACACACTGAAGCTATTGGGAAGAACTCTGAAGCACACTGAAGTTTTTTGTTATTATATTCTTCCAAAACTCAGTATTCTACTGTATTTGTTCAAATAAAGAAAATAAGACAATTCTATGTATATATATATATAAACTTTGTTCTTACAAATTTATATAATCAGGGTGATTAATTTAAAGGGGCCCTACAGTCATTGTTTAGTCTAGTATTATATTTACATGCAGTATGTTTGATTTTCACGATCCAAACGATCGACAATATTTTGAATAATTCAGGTAAGGATAGCTTTATTTCTTTCTGCTGATACACATGAAGGGATTTATATTTAGATCTGTTGTTTACTTGTATGTTCGACAGCTATTTATACAAGATCGGCCAGGCGCTAACCAGAACGCTCATATCCCACTCATCTTTGTGTGCCTATAATGTGACACACTACTTCATGTAAACCTTTCATATAGTGACTCGCATGGAAATTGTTTTATTAGCGCCTGGGGATGAGGCAGGTATTGCAGACGTTATATTGATATAATATAGATGGTTTCACGGAAGTTACCTAGTTCGTGATATTTGGTTGTATGTCTACAGATTATTCTCATTAGTGTGTAAGCGCAAAGGCATACAATTGAAATTTAAGAGGCGTTGCCTGTAAAGTTCAAGCAAAGTTGGAAATGGGCCCAAAATCCGCAATTTTGAAACTTTGTCAGAATAAAGTCTATCACATGCCTGATTGAACGACCTACCTTATTTTCTTGGAAAATTGAAAGTTTTAATTTGAGGCACCTTTACTTTAATAGTAGGTACCCCCCCCATACAATAACGGAAGTAATTAGTATTCAAGCGAATGTATGTATGAGTAGATTACCTATACGGAAGTGATTCAAGCGAATGACGTCATCAGGGGAGTACGTACTTAGCGTTCGTACTTAGCGTACGTACTTAGCGTTCGTACTTAGCGTACGTCCGAGCGTTCGTACTTAGTGTAGGTCCAGTTTAGTAAGCATTACGTAATTGGTTAAATGGGCCCAAACCAATTGAATAGGGCCAACGAATGTTTTCTTTCCTGACCAAGTATGCGTTCTTCAAGGTCGAAAAATGTTGTCGAAATTTCGCCTATGGAATTTCGGAAGCTATGCAATTTGTTAGAGACAATATTTGTACAAACTGTTTCTTGCGAGGTTTATGAGCTTTTCGAAGAGAGGTGCTGTGGCCAATGGCGGATCCAGCTCCTGAGCTGACTGATGCATACATAAGACCTCGCATTTGTAGGGGGGTCCGGTGGTATCCTCCCCCGGGAAATTTTGAAATCTAGGACCTCGGAAATGCGATTTCCTGCGTTTTGAGCGAACTCTTTTGTTGCAATTCCTATATCAGAGTCACAAAAATTTTGCTGCATTTTTGGAAAAACACGTAAAAAACTTGAACCTATATCGCAAAAAAACCATAATTTCTCCACAAAAGAAAAAAATTTTGCTTGTACAAGTGTAATAGCAGCAGTAGCAATAAGTCTCTCGCTTCTTGTAGCCTTAACTTTTCTATTGAAAAACATTTCGGCAGAAAATCACGACAACGCAAATACACACATACTGTGTAACAAAGGTGTATACAGTGTGCTCCACTAGTTGCATTGCTGGGCTCAGAAGACAGTGTTATTATGTTGTTTATGAACCACCTTCTCCTATTAATTTCCAATGTTCCATGAGTAAAATCTTCTAGCATTCGAATTTAAAGTGAAATAACATATGGTGCATAAAGATTAAAGGTATATTGTGCTTTACTGGGTAAATATATGCAACTCTGTCTTATGCTGCTAATCTTACTCTACATGGACAGTGTGGTTGGCATCAGCTGGTCAATTTCATTTGCCCCTAGACTAGCTGCCTTTCAGATGAACTGCATGGTGAATAGCCCACACTCTGAATACTGAGAATATTGCCTTGTGGCGAGGAAACCAGTAAACTAACACACAACAAACACTGGGTTTAAAATTATATAAATAGATAACTAGGTACACACACGTTTTAAATCAATAGAGCCTGTGTGTAAATTAATTTAATGAAGCTATCTTAATTGGAAATTGTTTGTTAAATAAACCAATACCAAACTGTACAATGATAAACATGACATAATTTAATCATATGTCTTCTATCTGCGTGTCCCCTTTTGCCTGCCTTTCAACTAATATTAATACAGTACTCCTTTAAGAAAGGTTGCACAGTAGTATTGATGAATATTTAATTTTCCCTATATTATCTTGTCAAATATATCCATACACTTATCAATGGTAATCGTAATCCTCAGGGTGGCATGCTGGCTATCCAAAACATAATACTGGGATAATTAGCATTACAAATATATAATTTAATTAAATATATTTTCCAAACTATCCCACTTGTGTGAGCAAATTTCATAATTATAACCTGTATACACCAGTTACAGTATATACAGTATTTATACCGTCCATCATTTTATCATCGATTCTAAGATTAAATCCGTCAGGAGAATGTCATATGATATATACAGCTTATATCAAATTATATTTGCACAGACAAAGCATATAAACACTCAACTATGGTAGGCGAGCAAACCCAGGTAATCATCTTTGTTTGCAAAATATCCAGCTAATGTATAGTAATTGCCCAATAACTCAGGCAATGCAAAGAAAGACCCCGTCACAAGGCATGCCAGCTCATTTCCATATAAAATGAAAATGAAATAGGAGATACCACTGGAAGTTGCAACTTGAAACAATTACCTTTCATGTAAACTCCCCCTTAGTTTTCTAACCAATGTTGCATTAATTACTATTAGAAATCTCATTAATAAAATTATGCTCTGTAATTACATACAGAGACTGATGCAAGTCTTGATCCATTCAGAGTTACTTTTCACCCACACTATAGTTTTATTTTTGGTATCCAATCAAAATGTGCCAGAGGAAATGTCAATTTCCCATAATAACAAGCTAAATATAGTTACAATCACTAAATATATCATTATTTAATTATATCATTAACCAATTATCAAAACAATACATTAAATATGGCATGAATACTCATGCTAGAAATAGCCAATCGGAGTTACAACAATAAAGGCAGTTGTGGGGCACAAACATAATAACATGTGTATCAGGTCTTCATTTTTCTTTGCCCGTCAGCTGTGAGAAAAATGAAGGTCTGGGCACAGGATATAATCCCATGTAAACAGAGATGAAATTTGCCTCAGTAAAGCAAGCTGTCAAGTTTGTATTGGGGCTAGTTTGGCTCCAGACAAGCAAACCTCTGTAAAATGTCAAACTCTACCCCCCCCCTACCCCCGCCCCCCAACCACTAACATCTTTCTGGGCTTTCTGGAATATAGAGCAACAACAGTAATAGACACAAACTGTAATTATTTTGTTATTACATACAAATCTATATTAATTGTGCAGGACCCCATTTTCCACTTTACACACTTCTTGAACTGAACAATTTAGTAATTTATACGGTGGCCCATAGGGGTCACGGCACAAACAAAAACTCCACGGCACAAACAAAAACTCCACGGCACAAACAAAAACTCCACGGCACGAACAAAAACTTCACGGCACGAACAAAAACTTCACGGCACAAACAAAAACTCCACGGCACGAACAAAAACTCACGGCACGAACAAAAACTTCACGGCACGAACAAAAACTTCACGGCACAAACAAAAACTTCACGGCACAAACAAAAACTCCACGGCACAAAAAAACTCCACGGCACAAACAAAAACTCCACGGCACAAGCAAAAACTCCACGGCACAAACAAGAACTTCACGGCACAAACAAGAACTTCACGGCACAAACAAGAACTTCACGGCACGAACAAAAAGTCCACGGCACAAACAAAGTAAAAAACTTCACGGCAGATGGACGTAAGCTGTTAACGTGTTAGACAAAATGGCAGATGCCAATGAAGACGGTTTAGAAAACGATCACTTCGAAACGCATGAAGAGGACGAAGAAAGCCTCATTCGCTACTATTTCTATAGAGGTTTTGATTATAAGGAAATCGTTTTATTTTTATTACAAAATCATGATATTCAGATGAGCATGGCCACATTTAAACGACGATTGCGAAGGTACGGACTTAGGTGGCAGCTACCAGAATATGACATTGACGAAGCAAGGGCATCCATTCAAAGTCTTATTAATGGTCCTGGATGTTTGCAAGGATACAGGTCCGTATGGCATACACTGCAGCTTAGAGGAGTTAGAATACCGCGTATTGTTGTACAACAACTTCTGAAAGAGTTAGATCCTGAAGGGACTGAAATGCGAAAGGCTCACCGGTTAAAAAGAAGAAGATATCACAATCCTGGTCCGAACTATTCTTGGCATTGTGACGGGTACGATAAACTCAAGCCTATTCATGGATGTATCGACGGCTGGAGTAGAAAAATACTATGGTTATACGTAACGAGATCAAATAATCAACCAAATAATGTAGCTGCATATTATCTAGATGCTGTGGAAGAATATGGCGGATGTCCAGTTGATCTTGTGACTGACCTTGGCACAGAGAATGGCACAATGGCAGCAATCCAATCATTTCTAAGAGATGACCCAGATAGTCACAGATATGTGCCGTCGCCGCGAAACCAACGAATAGAGGCTTGGTGGGCGTTCTTAAGGAGATTACATTCAACTTGGTGGATAAATTTTTTCAAAGATATGGTGGATAACAGAGTCG